CTTTCTCTCTTTTTTTCCCGCCTGGCGCTAGGCAAGCAATTGATGAAACAAAACAGATTATAAGATTAGCAGCAGGATTTTGTGCATATTAATGATAGGGAAGGGCACCGAATGGGTTTGTAATTGCAGATCTTGCGCCGGGAATTGGGAACTGTAGCCTCGCCGCGGCAAAGACCCCCCTGTGAGGTTTTCACATTGCAACTTAGGGGAAAAGTGAAAAAAAAAAAGTAATTACCAGAGCACAACATTGAAATGTTAAAGCAGTTATTCTTTCTTTCAGCGTTCTGTTTTAAAGGGGAGAAAACGGGCAAAATGGAAAATAAATTACTTTCAAATAAGTAGGTTAGCACCTGAATGCTGGTGCGCATTTCCCCCCCTCCTCCTTTTTTTTTTCTCCTTTTTTTCTCTTTTTTTTTTCCTTCTCTTTTTTAATTCTAGCAATTATTTAGCAGGGCATTTGCTTCTGAACCTACCATCCGAGCACCAGAAACGGGGGAAGGGAGGGCACGGAGAGCTCGGGGACGGAGGGGCAAGTCCGCCCGAGAGGTTTGAGGCAAATATCGCCGGGAAAGCTGTTCAAAGCCGCAGCCTGAAATTTRGAGGGATTTTTTTTTTCTCCTTCTTTCGGTTTTGTTTTGAAATCGGGGCTTGAAAGGAAAAGATTGTTTTGGTTTCCCGCTTCAACACAAGCATCAAACGGTATTTTAGCAAGGGATGCATTTCACAAGCACAAATCCCTTCCAGGAACGGCATGTTCTCTGTAATATCGAGGAGTAACCTGACACTGAATTTTAACTCCTTTTAAGGGTCCCCTCGTGTTTCTTGGACTACTTCAGTGCTCCTCCTGCGAGACCGCACTTCTTAAAATCCGAATTATGCACTTAAAAACGCAGCGCTCCTTTACTGACTCTCCTCGTCGTTTTCTCCCGTGATTAACAGCAAAAGATGGCTCTGGTTTAACAGCACGCACTCGCGCGTATTGTTTTAATTCCGCTTTCAACGGAAAATAAATGTATCTGGGGGAAAACAGGCTTTGAAAAACTTTTTTTTTTCTCTTTACGAGCCAATAAAACGGAGTATCTGCTCCTCAGGCAGTAATTTCTGATTCCAAATTGCGGAGGGAGGAGGGAGGGGGAAAAAAAAGAAAATGTTCGCGTTTCGTCCATCCCGCTGCAGCCACCGTCTCCTCCCGCTTCCCCTGCCTCACATTTGGGAGCGCGGCAGAACCCCTGGCCAAAATTATTTTTAACTACCGTTTTAAAGATGGTGGGGGAGAAGGAGGGAGGAAATAAAAGCCGCCGAGGACGGATTATATTTTATTGTATTTCGCTTTCTCGCCGAGCGCTGCGCTCGCTGCCCGTGCGCAGCGCTGCGGGGAGGAAGGGCAGCCTCCCCGGGGCCCCGCGCCGCAGGGAGCCGCCAAGGGGCAGGTTTGGGGCGGCAAGGGGCAGGTTTGGGGCTCTGCTCCCCTCGGCGCCCGGGCCGGGGCCGCTCCCGAGGTCCCGCTCGCGGAGCGGGGCACGGGAGAGAGGCGCCGCCCCAGCGCGAGGCGCCCCGGGAGCCGTTAAACGGCCGCGCTAACGGCTCCCGCCGCCCKTGGGCGCCACGCACGGCGCCCCGCGGCGCTGCCCCGCACCAGGCGCTGGTGCCAGCAGCCATGGCAGCTCCGCGGCGCTGCCACCCACGCGCACCGGGATGGGACACGGCCCCTCCATCCCCCTGTGGGGCACAGTACAGAAACACCCCACTCACACAACTAGGGCAAGCAGAGGGGAGGCCAAGTGGCCTCGCTCCCTGAATCCAATCCGAAAAGGAAACTTCAGAAATCCCTGCTAGTAGAGCCAAGCTGCTACTCATAATGATGTCCCCAGGTGCTCAGAAGGCTTCAAGCTGCTGCAGGTGCCTGCAACCTGCTGCAGTCGTTTGAAGCTCATGGTACTGGGGAGAAAAAGGAGCACTAAGAACCTCTGCTACCTGTCTGGGCCTCCACCACTTAGAGTGGCATTCCCTGTAACTTGTGATTTTGCTCCTATTTCTGCTAACACTACTGATACTACTGAGGCTGCGATGCCAAGCGCAGGCATCCAGTAGGAAGCTTCCAAAGTGGAGCTTACCGAAGGCAACAAAACACTTGTCCCCGTGTCACACGTGAGTGCATGAACGAGCCTGGAAGGCATGGGGGACAACTTCATGCTGCTGGCACAGCCCGACCTGCCTCCCACGACCAACTTCTCTCTCCTTTGGCCTTGGCAGTGCTCCCTAAAACTCAGCGATGTTTGTGCGGGTCTGATGCGCTGTTGGATGTGACTAGGAATGCTTCATGTTACGGCTGCACCTCCTGGATGCTGCAGCTGCAGCTCAGGTGAGTCGGTAGTGGATGTGTCACTGCTCATCTGACCATCTCTGCCTGTTTTACCCCAGGCAAAGAGACCTCAAAATCTCCATTTGTGCAGTACTAAGGTGTTGCAAGAAGTTACGAAACGAAGGGAGTTAATCGACTTCACCATGAATGGTGTCTAGCTTTTGTTAACTACTGAGGGTTTG